AAGCTCCCCAAATCGGGTCATCCTCCTTGGGCACAACTGAAGGTCCCAAGCAGTGCAGCAGAAGCAAGAGCATCAGCTGCTTCCCCAGCTGTGGTTTTGTTTGCATCTTGGAAGAGGGGAGAGGAGCTGGCAGCTGCACTCCCTAGGCAGAGAAGGGAAGCATCACAAGAACCACAGGGAAATATCTGAGAGAACAAAGAACAGAAGCATTGACTGATACCACCACACAGCAGCGTAACTGGACCCGTGAACTCTGGCCTCGAAATTAGCTCTGAGAGTGCTTGAAATTCTGCATCACAAAAAAACTGGCTCCAAGAGCAACTTCTAGATTCTAGAATCCACTCTAGAAAGATCTGCAAGGAGTGCCTGGCACTTGATCTCCCAGCGCTGTGTTTGCCCGTTATCAAAGAACAGCAGCACATTATATAAATACTTTGGAAGGAGTTGCAACAAGCAGACTTAAGTAGTGGGCACTTAAAAATAAAACAGTCCGACACAAGATAACGTCTCAAAAATGAGATGGGAATGCGCATGCCAGGGCCTGAAATATGACAGCCAGACTATACTGGTACGAACGGCTCAAGCACATGGGAGGTGGGAGGAGGCAACTGACCCCAGCTCAGTGTTGCAGCGCTCTTGGCAGAACCCTGGGTCACTCCTCTGTCTCCCTTCTCCAGTTCAGCGACAACAACCAGGATGGCTGCATCTTGAAATCATTATTTACTTTTATTTACTTAGTGTACTTTTATACCATTCTTCATCTTATGAACTCAGTGCAGATTACAAATCAATAAAAACAGAGCGGGTAAAAATATACTGAACATCAACCGAAGATCAATCCTAAAACACTTTATAGAGCCAACACAACTCCTTGCAGCTAGAGAAACAAATGCTAGCAACCTGAAAGAACCAAGACAAACGGGCAGGTCCCAAAATGTCCATGCCAGGTGCACTTCCCAGGGGAGGGCATTCCCTAACTGGGGTGCCACCACAGAGAAGTCCCTCTCCTCCCACATCACCTCCAGATGTTCCTCAAAAAGGACCTCCCAGTTCTAAGGGACCGGGAAGGATGATCCAGGGTTCCTTCAGATGCTTGGGAAGGGACTCCGATACTATCAGAGGGGAAAGCGCAATTACTGCCCAAAGCCACGAACAGTCCAAAATCTGTATTTCAGCAGCACAAAGGAAAAGCTAAAAAGGGGGTGAACAAGGTTATACTCCAGGTCTCTGGGGTGGGGGTTAATGCTTTGAGGGTGGTACCAAGGAATTGGAAACTGATTTTCTCCCTCAGCCATCTCCCTCTAGAAAGGAATATCCAGATGAAGACCAAGGCATTTAAGACCCGTTTGCATTTTTCTGCTACAGAGTTTCTGCCTGCCCGCTACTGCCTCATGCCTTCATCCTCTCTCCTCCTCCTCCTCCTCCTTTGAAGCCCTGAAGGAAACCTCAGGCACCCACCCCGCCTTGTTACGCTACAAAGTCAGGAATCCAGCCCTGTATAGTTTAATGAGACTCCCCTCTGGGAATACTGCTCACAATGTCCACGAAATGCTAATGTCTGTTGTCCAGTGTTTTCACAAAAACCATCTCCAGGAGGCATCAGCTGAATCTCCTGGCCTCCTCTCTGGGGGCCACATGCTACTAGAGTGTGGGGCCGATTTTGACACATGTGCACACCAGGATGCATACACTAGGACAGCCTCCCTCTCCTCAGATGGTCTGTGTAGGTCAGCTGAGAAGGGAGACATTATTGCCCCCTCCACACTCATCAAATGAATTATTATTATTATTATTATTATTATTATTATTATTGTCCATCTGATGATCAGCAGTGTGGGCAATTTGCATCCCCATCTGGCCCTAGACAGGGTAGAAGCATTTAAACCTCCCTGTCTATTCCAGCACCATGCCAATTTTAAAGAAACCTTGGTGGGGGCTGCCTGGTGCAAGAGACAAACAATTTGCTGGCAAGAGGAGTGCTCATCAGGCCCCTGGGCATTAGCTACCTCTGCATTACACAGACATACACTGTGATGTAAAATGTCACTTTCCCATCTGGGAGTCTCACATTGCCTATGCCGCTCAAGGGGGACCCTTTCTGTTTCTTGGGCAAGAGAAACCAGGAAGGAGACATTCTTGTGTGGAGAAAGAGCTCAGGGGCAGAAGAACGACTCGGCTGTACAGAAGCACCTACTGTCATCAGTTCGTGCTCAGTGAGGCATCTTACATAAAGCAGAAAGGCAGCCAAATAGCCAGAAACCAATAGGTTTAGACAGAAAGGATAATCAAGTTATGATTTCATATTTACACGCTTAAATGAGAATAATAAAATGTTTCACAGTCACTGTCTCAATAACCCTTTAAGATGCTGGGAGGGGAGGTAACCGGCAAATTAATGGCTGCACAGAGCTTTGAGGAGGCGACTTACAAATTCAGATTGCGTTCTTCATCATACCATGCCAGCTGCCTGTCACTACACAGAAAAAGACACCGTTCCAAATGAAAGGATCATTAAATTAAGAGAAAATTTGGAAACACAACACCAATCAATATACCATTATCAGATGCTATGACCAAGTAAAATGTGAAGTAATTACTTCCGTGACTGAGCATGACGGAAGATTAAAGTGCGGTTCTTGTCCGAGTCTTCCAAGGACAACAGAGATCCCTTGTTCCAGATAAGAGCATCTCCTTGGAACTGATTCACTAGGCAACTAGCAGGGTCCTCAGAGGAACGGAGGCAGCCTGGGACTTGCTCCCGAGTTCATCCACTGCTGCGACTACAGGATTAAGACAGCCTCTCCAGGAGTGGGATCCTCTTGACTAAAGTGAGGGAAGCATCGATGGAGTGACCAGGGAGGACAGAGACTCACACAGGACATCTTCCTTTGGTTGTGGAGCCGCAGAAAGTGAAGGAAGGCAGGTGAAAAGATGAAGGGGCACTGCAAAAGTGAGAGCGTTCAGAACACACCCAGATTTTAACACCTGCCTCTTCCATACAGTCATCTCCAGGACTCTGCTGACATTTGAATCTATTGGCATTTACTTCCTCTCATAAATCGAGCCAGCCAGGAACAAAAACGCAGGCAGGCAGGCAGGCACACCCTCCAACACAGCGGAAGGGAAGCCAACGGAAAGCCAACTTCAAAGCTAAACCTTTGCTACGTGATAAGCACAATTTACATACGGGTTTCCGCACTTTTTCCTATGCCGAAGGGCCTTCTGGAAAGAAAACAGGACATCTGAGGCAGCTCAAAGACTCTCCGCACAGGTAAGAGCCACAGGACAAAGTACCACGCACAGTGTCCCTCTTCCTGCTAGAGATCAAAACAATTACACAGAGGGTATTTCAGAGCGAAACCCATCTAAAACACGTCACTGACTAAGTCCAACCGTCTGAAGTTTTCTTTAAAAACACAGGCACTTGAAAAGTTTTGAAAAATTAACACGCCACACATGGGCTCTCAAAATCCTCTGCAAGCAACAAAAAGCACAAACGGATACCATTTTAGAGCCTTGAGTGCGACTGGACCAGACAAAATGCCAACAACCTGATGGCCACAGTGGCAGACCAAGCGGACGCCTTTGGGAAGTCCAGCAGTAAGACACAAATGTCCTCTCCTGGTGTCCTGGAGGCAGAAGGTGACCATCCTGACCAGCAGCCACTCCTCTATGAATTTCTCTAGACCCTTTTCAGAACTATCCAAGTCAGCGCCCATCACTGCCTCCTGGGAGAGCAAATTCCAGTTTTAAAATTCTCCCCACTCCAGAGGTTGCTGCAAGCAAAGGCACAAGTGCAACGGCAGGGGGAAAGAAGCAGGTGCGCAGCTCTTTTGCCCCACAGCTGTGGGGTAAAAGGGAATAGCAGTGTCTAGATAGCCCATCTCAGATCATCGGTCCCAGGGTATGGGATGGAGCTAAGCAGATCCTGCGCCGATCAGGGCCTGGATAGAAAACTGCCTGGGAGCCCCACGTAAGCATTAGAACTGGGGTATAAACGGAATAAACTCTGCAATGTGGGAAAGGAAGGTTAATGTTGAGAAGTCGGGGCAGCACCAGGCAGAAAGGAAGAGCCCTACCTGGGCACCCATCATGGTCAGGGGGCAAAGTGGCACCTCCTCCCACTGACCCCGAAACAGACGGCAGGATTCCCTGGTTAGGGTCTTGGCTACTCCATGGGGGCCCTTTGGGTGCTGATGGGCTCCAACTCCCATCATCCCTGACAACAAGCCCGCACAACACACCTGATGAGGAACGGTTGAGGGAGTTGGGGGTGTTTAGCCTGGGAGTGAAGAGACTGAGCGGTGGCACGAGAGGCATCTTCAAGTATCTGCCAGCGATGTTTCCATGCGGCTTGCTACAAAGTTACGGATGGGGCACGGAAAGGCAACAGAATGACAGAAGCATATGGCTGGAAGGGATCCCAAGGGTCATCCAGCCCAACCCGCTGCAATGTGGGGGTCAGGGCAGGAGTGGTTTGAAGGATGCCTCCAAACTTAGCAGCCGGGAACCCCAAAGCGAGGTGGGTCTCCCAGCTCCCCCTTGGGTCTTCCTGTCCCGGGCACCCAGACTGGCACCCGCCGTGAGAAGAGGGTGGGGGCCAAAGGGGGGGCTTTGGGCCTGATCCAGCAGGCAGGTTCTTTTCTGGAGGAGAACGGCCTCTGATGCCAGAGGAGACCCAGGCAGCAGGACATCCGGGGGGGGGAGAGAGAGAGAAGCAGCGGGGGGTGGGGGCTGCACCTACACGGCGACCCCAAAAGAGGGGGACCCCAAAAGCCCCTTCCTCCCCGACCCCTCCTGCTCCAAGCCCCGCCGGGGGGGGAAGGGGGCGGGGTTGACCCTCTGCCCACCCGAAGCCCCCCTCGGGAATGATGATGATGATGGGGGGGAGATGGGGGCCCCTCGGAATCTCACCCCCCACCCCCTCGGGGGGAGGGGTCCTGGGGGCGAGGAGGGGGAGGGGGCTGGAGAGGTTGCCATGGCGACGGGGGGGCGGGCACCTGAGGGTGGGCCCCAGGCAGGCCGTGTCGGTGCTGTCCACCTCGCGCAGGATCCTCTCGTGCTCGGCCGCCGTCTCGGGGCTCTCCGGCTCCGCCATCCCGCCGCCAGCCGCTCCCTCCTCCGCCCAGCCCGGCCGGACACAGGCAGGCAGCAGGCGGCCCGCCTAGGCCGCGCCCCCCTCCCAGCCGTAGCAATGGCAACGGCGCCGCACCACCCGCCCCGCCGCCCGCGCCAGGCCTGCCGGGAAGTGTAGTCCTCAAGGGAGGCGGAGCCGGAGGAGCGAGGCGCTGCGCTTCCGCGGGACGTCGCCGGCCGCTCTAGGCCGAGGGGTCTCTGGGGCGAAGCAGCAGCGCCGCCTGCCGGCCAGGAGGTGCCTCTCGGCTGCTCAGCTGGAGGCGCAGTGCGGACGCCGCGGGACAGAGGCGGGCTTTGTGGCGGCTGCTCCGGATAGAGAGGCCAGGAGCTGGGTGAGTGGCAGGCAGCCCAGGGCAGGAATGCCCTTCATTCCTTTATTCATGATTTATAAACCACCCTTTATAAATCAATCTGGAAGGACAGATCCTGAAGCTGAGGCTCCAATACTTTGGCCACCTCATGAGAAGAGAAGACTCCCTGGAAAAGACCCTGATGTTGGGAAAGATGGAGGGCACAAGGAGAAGGGGGCGACAGAGGACGAGATGGTGGGACAGTGGTCTCAAAGCTGCTAACATGAGTTTGACCAAACTGCAGGAGGCAGTGGAAGACAGGAGTGCCTGGCGTGCTCTGGTCCAGGGGGTCACGAAGAGTCGGACACGACTAAACAACTAAACAACAACAACATAAATCAATCATGATTTATATTTGTTAAGTTGTGGGTGAACATATCAGACGACACAGCGATTCTTCAAACAGCTCTTCTTTATTCACAGGCCAGAACTGAACTGAACTGAAGGGTTCAGTCAGCCTGCTTATATAGAGCTCCAGTACAACGTTACTGTAACAACTTTCTAAAACTATCCAATCACTGAACATCACTTTCAATCCTTCATTTGCATACAAACTATCCAATCACTGAACGTCACTTTCGATCCTTCATTTGTATAACTGTCTACAGTATCCCCCTGCTGGCCCAGGGCGAGAACTTCAGTACATAACAATATTCATGATTTATAAACCACCCTTCAGCCAAAGATGATGATGACGATCTGTTTCTATACCCCGCCTTCTTCCCCAACTGGCTCACAGATAAAAGCAAGAACCGCCACAAACACAGGGGGGAAACCCAGGGGGGAAACCCAATTGATAGAATGAAAATGGCGTACATAAATCTGTTGAAATCCTACGCTGAATAGAAATGCGTAGCTTCAGGTACGTAGCCGTGTTGGTCTGACGCAGTCAAAATAAAAATAAAATAATAAAAACTGTCCACTAGCACCTTATAGACCAACAAAGTTTGTTCTGGTATAAGCTTTCAGGTATCTGAAGAAGTGTGCATGCACACGAAAGCTTATACCCAGAACAAACTTAGCTAGTCAATAACAGGCACCCCCAAACTCGGCCCCCCAGATGTTTTGGGACTACAATTCCCATCATCCCTGACCATTAGTCCTGCTAGCTAGGGATCATGAGAGTTGTAGGCCGAAAACATCTGCAGGGCCAAGTTTGCCTATGCCTGGTCTATAAGGTGCTACTGGACAATTTTTTATTTATTTTTATTTTTTGTTGTTATATAAACCACTTAGCCTCTTGGGCTTGCTGATCAGAAGGTCGGCGGTTTGAATCCCTGCGACGGAGTGAGCTCCCGTTGCTCAGTCCCAGCTCCTGTCAACCTAGCAGTTTGAAAGCACGCCAGTGCAAGTAGATAAATAGATATGGCTGCAGCGGGAAGGTACCGTAAACACTGTTTCCATGTGCTGCTCTGGTCACATGACCCAGAAAAACTGTCTGTGGAGCAGACAAATGCCAGCTCCCTCAGCCTGTAAAGAGAGATGAGTGCTGCAACCCCAGAGTTGTCTGTGACTGGACATAACTGTCAGGAGTCCTTTACCTTTACCTTTTAAAAATGCATAATAAAAGCTGGACATGCACCTGCTCATAGCAGCTGGGATGAACATCAGTGTTTGGGGGGGGGGCGACTCTGCAGCCCCATAGGAGAGCTGCACCCCAGCAGAGTCACTGAGCAGGGCGAGATTCCAGGGGTTCCAGACATTCTCCCAGGGTTCGCGTTCCCTTTGGAAACGAGCCGCAGCAGAGGCTGTGGCGTCTTTAGGATATATAGTTTATTTATACATGTACCACCAACCTGAGCATAGATCAAACACTGTGCGATGGCATCAGGACAATGTTGGATGGTCCGCAAAAGCCATATCGATTCCAGAACTATTGGGGGGGGGGAGACACCTGCCGGTCTTCTTGGCCCCTCTGCTCCTGGCCGAGTTGGAGCTGCAGGTTGGGAGAACGTTGCTGCTGTTGAACCCAGGGCCTCCTTGGGGTCTTCCTTTCGGGGCACCTAGCTGGCCGCTGAGAGAAGACGATGCTGGACTTGACAAGCCATTGGCAAGGCAGGTCTTATGTTCTTATGATCTGAAGGTAGGAATAAGCAAGCTTGCTGATGGTACTAAATTACTGAGGGTCATCGAAATGAAAAGACAACGGGAAGATCTCAAAAAGGACTTCTCTTGGCCGCTGTGGATGAGATGGGGCCCCTCTGGCCTCAACCAACCGCAGGGCTCTTCTGAAGACAGGGCTTCCCAAACTTGGGGCTAGTAGTATCTTGCCAACCGACTGAGCTCAGTATAGTCTCACCCGTGACAATGAACCTGAACGTCCAGCACCTCTCTGGACATGTGGCTTCTGTCCTGACCGCCTCTCTCTGAGGAAAGGGAGGTCCTTTTCAGTTACTCGTGACTACAGGGCAGAGAGAGAAAGGCATTTATGACTGCTTATTTCCTTGACATACTGTAATCAACTATCTGACTGTGCTTGCTAGTCAAAGAGCTCTTTAACCAGCAAACAGTCAGGCATCCCTCGTAAAGCATTAAACTGCCAATCTGCACGGCTAATGTGGTCAGGCAGAAATGGAACATCTTCCTCTGTAAAAGGCCAAATAAGCGTTGCAGCTGGCTGAAGCATGCGTGAAATCGGTAGCAACACTGAACCGATGAATGCTGAAAGCAAAACAAAGTTGTGTGGGGCCAAACGCCATCATCGCCCATGCCTCACAGGTCGGTCTCTCAGTACAGTGGGCAAGCTGCCTCTGGGATCTACAGGAGTCAATGCTCTTCTCCACATGCACCCTCCCATCACAGAGAGAGCCAGTGTGGTGTAGTGGTTAAGAGTGGTGGACTCGTAATCTGGTGAACCGGGTTCACTTCCCCGCTCCTCCACATGCAGCTGCTGGGTGACCTTGGGCCAGTCACACTTCTCTGAAGTCTCCTAGCCCCACTCACCTCACAGAGTATTTGTTGTGGAGGAGGAAGGGAAAGGAGATTGTGAGCCGCTTTGAGACTCCTTAGGGTAGTGACAAAGTGGGATATCAAATCCAAACTCCTCCTCCTCCCCTTCTTCTCCTCCTCCTCCTCCTCCTCTTCTTCTTCTTCTCCCTGTGGAACACCCTCTGTTTGAATCTCAAGGAAATAAACAACTATCTGACTTCTAGAATACATCTGAAGGCAGCCCTGTATCAGGAAGATTTCAATGTTTGATGTTTTAGTATGTTCTGATATGTGCCGTGAGTCGCCCAGAGTGGCTGGGGAAGCCCTGCCAGATGGGCAGGGTATAAATAATAAAATTATTATTATTACCACTACTACTACACAAACCATGTAGAAAAGGCCCAGAGAAGCACAAAAGCTATGCCAGCTTGGCCTCCCCACTGAGCTGGCCACACCTTTATCCTTCTAGCTGAGACCCCCTTCCTTGTTGGGCCCAGGAGAGTCACCACAGGCAGCAGCACCACCCCAATTGCTTTTTTCTACCAAAGCCCCACAGGCTCCATTCCCCTGCAAGTGGCCCTGCTCCGTCCGCACTGTCAGAGGCAGCCATGCTTCCGAGTACCCACTCCTGGGGAGAGGGGTGTTGCACATCTGAGAGAGCAGGGTGGGTCCCCTTTGGCCTCATCCAGCAGGGCTTGGCTTTGTTCATCTCACAACGCTCTCAACCTTCCATCAGAAAGGCCTCAGGAGGACCACAAATGGGCTTCTGCTTCCAAGGAGGAATCCTACACAACCACACACTCCTGCTTCTCTGCAAAGGTGGCAGAACCCCAGCAGATGCACTCACTGGGCAGTGGGAAGCTCATGGAATAGCTCAAGTGACTGACCAGAGACATCCCTAAAGAGGAGGAAATAGAAAGAGCAGCCCTGCACAGAAGGAGCACCTTTCATTGCCACCCTCTGCGCTCCTCCAAACGGCAGAACCATTATCTCCAGCTAGACTTTCTTTCCTTTCAGATCACACCCTCCCTCCCCTTGTGTGTGGAGCGCAAACTCTTCCCAGGTGTTCCTCCCATCCTCCCCTCTTCCTGAGCTTGGATCCCTCCTCCCCTTCCACACAGCCCCTGAGAGAAGACTAGACAAGCCATTGGCAAGGCAGGTCTTATGTTCTTGTGATCTGAAGGTAGGAATAAGCAAGCTTGCTGATGGTACTAAATTACTGAGGGTCATCGAAACACAAAGAGAACGGGAAGATCTCAAAAAGGACTTCTGTCGGCTGCTGTGGAGGAGATGGGCCCCCTCTGGCCTCATACAACTGCAGGGCTCTTCTGAAGACAGGGCTTCCCAAACTTGGGTCTCCAGCTGATTTGGACTACAATTCCAATCATCCCTAGCTAGCAGGGCCAGCAGTCAGGGATGATGGGAACTGTAGTCCAAAAACAGCTGGAGACCCATGTTTGGGAAACCCTGACGAAAGTTATTGCCTTAAACATGACAGTCGAGAGGTAATTAATGTAATAATAATAATAATAATGATAAATTTTTATTTATACCCCACGCTCCCCAGCCAAGACCGGGCTCAGGTAAACAACCCACCACAATTCCACACACACCAGTTTAGACCAAGCCAAGTGATGATTTTATTAAGTAAGATGGGATGAGAAGAGGGAAGGAATGACTGGGTTACATGGCCAAGAAAACAGAAAGACATTTAGAAAATGGAGCCTCTATCTTGACGGCTAGTAGTATCTTGCCAACCGACTGAGCTCAGTATAGTCTCACCCGTGACAATGAACCTGAACGTCCAGCACTTGTCTGGACGTGTGGCTTCTGTCCTGACCGCCTCTCTCTGAGGAAAGGGAAGCTCTTTTCGGTTACTCGTGACTACAAGGCAGAAAGAGAAAGGCATTTACGACTGCTTATTTCCTTTCCATAAAAAACCATCTGACTGTGCTTGCTAGTCAGAGAGCTCTTTCACCAGCAAACAGTCAGGCATCCCTCGTAAAGCATTAAACTGCCAATCTGCACAGCTAATGTGGTCAGGCAGAAATGGAACATCTTCCTCTGTAAAAGGCCAAATAAGCGTTGCAGCTGGCTGAAGCATGCGTGAAATCGGTAGCAATACTGAACCAATGAATGCTGAAAGCAAAACAACAAAGTTGTGTGGGGCCAAACGCCATCGTCGCCCATGCCTCACAGGTCGGTCTCTCAGTACAGTGGGCAAGCTGCCTCTGGGATCTACAGGAGTTAATGCTCTTCTCCACATGCGCCCTCCCATCAGAGACAGAGCCAGTGTGGTGTAGTGGTTAAGCTCATGGAATGGCTCAAGCAGACTGACCAGAGACATCTCTAAAGAGGAGGGAAATAGAAAGAGCAGCCCTGCACAGAATGAGCGCCTTTCATTGCCACCCTCTCCGCTACTCCAAGCGGCAGAACCATTTATCCAGCTAGACTTTCTTTCCTTCCAGATCCCAGCCCAACTGGTCACCTTGTGGAAGGACTATGTTGGGTTCCTTGATGCTTGGGACACCAAGGGTACAGGGAAACCTTCCACATCCCTACCTCCCCTTGTGTGTGGAGCGCAAACTCTTCCCAGGTGTTCCTCCCATCCTCCCCTCTTCCTGAGCTTGGAACCCTCCTCTCCTTCCACACAGCCCAGGCTCAGAACTTGGCAGATGCTTCCACAATATGCAAGGCTCTGAGTGGCAGGCCATGGCCGCTGCGTCCAGAGAGAAAGCTGAACACAAGTCCTACAGAGGTACAGCACAGAGCAGCAAAAGCCTAGGAGGTGCCGGGAGAAGAAGAAGGGCTGGCACTTTTTATTCAGATATCGTAGAAGTCAACATGAGCCCCCGATTCAAAGGTGTTTGCGAGAAGAAGATCCAACAGCTTCTGGGAGGAGATGTCGCAATCCAGCAGTTCCCCGTGTTCCTTCATGTGCAGGAACGTCTTCCGCAGCTCCAGGTTTCCCGATCTGGTGCGAGCCTCTTCCTGCATATCCGTGTCCAGGGGACCTGGAAGAGAAGGCAAGAGGTGATTCCTGCACTGCAGGGCATTGGGCAGAACGGGTTCCTTCCAACTCTTCAGTCCTATGGTTTTATGATTCATGGGGAGGGGAGCGAAGGGCCCATCAGCGGACTGCCAGCGAGAGACGATGGAACGGCTGGTGACGCCGGAAGCCAGACCAGCTGGCAGACCCCAGACTCACCTGGCGCATAGCTGAGCACCCTGATGTCTGGCTCTTCTGCCGCTAGGACCCGGAACATCATGTCCCGGGCAGCTTTCCCAGTGCAGTAGAGGGCCCAAGTCTGGAAGGGTTTCAGAGCGCAGAGCGAGGAGACATTGACCACTGTTCGGCACAAGCCAGGCTGAGCAGGGAAGGCTTTCAGGAGGGAGGAGGTGAGGCACAGCGCAGAGGTGACGTTGAAGGCCAAGTAGGTGTTGACTTCGCTGGGGCTGGTGAAGTCCAAGAAGGATTTGGAAACATCGCCAAGAGAAGCTAGAAGACAAAGAAGACCCCTGTTTGTTTATCCATAAGTGCTTCTTCAGACTAGACCAGCGGTTCCCGAAGTGGGGCTTGGGATTCTGTAGGGGGGCACAAAAAGACAAGGCATGACAGGGTGGGGGCGTTGGAGGCGTAAATGTATATCAGACTCTGAAAAGTTGTCACCACAGGATCAAGTTCATCCGGTTTGTTGAATTAATTGAACAAAATAGTTTTAAATATGCAATTGTCACTGTTTGAAATTGCATTGAGTTATCCGTCCTAGTGCGCCATGCAAAGCGCTATTCTGACTGATGCTTTTTATAGGATAGGGTAAGGAGGAACTGGGGGTGAGTTTGTGGAACCAGGGGGGCAGTGGCCCAAAAGAGTTTGGAAACCACAGAACTGGAGGATGGGAGGAGCCTCGCAGGCAGAAGCTCCCCATATCTGGGATAAGCCAAGCGGCTCAAAAGCAAAGCTTTTCAGATCCTGCTGTGAGTGAGGAAAAGGCATAAATTGGGGACAAGAACAGAGAGGGAGGGAGGGAGGGAGGGAGGGAGGGAGGGAGGGAGAGCACATTAGGGGCACCACCCCAAACAGGATCACATAGAAACCTCACCCCTTTATACAGTACAGGCTATGGAGCTGGGAGATTAGGGTTCTCAAAGGTGAGGCGGGGGCCAACTGCTCAGGGCAAGGCAAGGTCTGAAAGTATTCTGAACATGGCGGAAGACCTGGCTGAGGAGGACAAACCCTTGCAGGAAGGGGGGCACCACCATTAAGAGACAGCGCAAAAGCAAAAGGATGTTTCGCACACACATACAAACACTCTGCTTATGGGTGAAAGAGGGGGGGATGTTTTTGTTTCCAAGGGGGCTTTCCTTGCATGTCGGAGCCTACACAGCCAGGTGTGGTATCTCCCAGCACAAAGGGGCCGAGATGATCCGCGGAAGAGGGCGCAGTCTGCCACAAGCAACTAGGTGAACTAGGTGCCCAACGATCCCCCTGGCTTGGAAGTTCCCAAGCACCACACTTCCTCGTTTTCCTTCCCAGGAGCTGCAAGTGGATCCGAAGTGGGGGCGCTTGAATCCGCGCGCTTGTCATCTCCGCTACATTCCCACAGCAACAACCCCAAAGTTATGCTTGCTGTGGACCCCAAAACTACAGTGGTACCTCGGGTTACATACGCTTCAAGTTACATATGCTTCAGTTTACAGACTCCGCTAACCCAGAAATAGTACCTTGGGTTAAGAACTTTGCTTCAGGATGAGAACAGAAATTGCGTGGTGGTGCCGCGGCGGCAGCAGGAGGCCCCATTAGCTAAAGTGGTGCTTCAGGTTAAGAACAGTTTCAGGTTAAGAACGGACCTCCGGAACGAATGAAGTACTTAACCCGAGGTACCACCGTAATTCACAAGGCTCACATATCCCGCTTCAGCAACGGAATATGCGTTCACCGCCTTCTCTTCCGCCCTCGGTGTCCCTCCTGGCGCTTTAGGGAGCAGAAAAGCCCGCTGCCACCGGGAACTTACAATCTCCCTTCCACGCGGAGGAAGAAAAAGATGGATGCAGAAATAAACAAGGGAGGGGGGAAGCAAGGACACCCGTCTAGTGTGCGTAAGGGCAGCGCGCGTGGATTTGGGGACTTTGCCAAGACGGCCCCCGCTTAGCCCTTTCCCCGGGAACTGGCCTTTCTGCAGGAAGCCGCCGCCAAGCCGGTCCCGCAGCTGCCTCCGGACCTGGAGGAGGAAGGCACTCTGCACGCGCTCAGGAGCGCGTCTCGGCGCGCCCGCTCACCGGCGTTGTTGACGAGCAGCAGCCGCTCCAGCGGCCCGTCCCCGGGGAGCTCCCGGGCGGCGCGCACCACGCGCTGCATCCCGTCGTCCGTGGCCAGGTCGGCGGGCAGGCCGCGCACGCGGAGCGCCGGGCAGGCGGCGCGCAGCTCGCCCTCCAGCTGCTCCAGCGCGGCCGCCGAGCGCGCCACCAGCAGCAGCGCCGAGCCGGGCGCCAGGCGCGGGGCCAGCAGGCGCGCCAGGCTCCGGCCGAAGCCTCGCGAGGCGCCCGTCACGATGCCCACGGCGCGGCCCAGACCCGCCGCCCGCCCGCCCGCCTCTCCGTCCATGGCCGCTCGGAAGCCGGGCTCGCCACTCGTGCGCTTTTACGCACGGCGCTCCGAGGCGGGACCGGGCGCTGCAGAGACCCCGCCCGGCGAAAGGAGGAGGCGCGCGCCGGGTGCTTTTATGCCCACCGCCTAGAAATGCGAATAATGCAGCTGTGTAGCAAATACATCAATGCCCCATTGAGCTCTGGCCAGGCCAGAATGTGCTTAATCTCCTTGGCATCCGAAAGTGAAACGAAGGCGGCTGGCGGGCGACGGGTCCTCCGCGCCCTGGTGCAAATCCCCTCCCTGGCTTCTCCTTTTTCTTTCTGGCTTTGGCCTCGGATCAGAGCAATCAGGAATAGGATGTGCAAAGTGCGGGACAAGCAAATGATTAATGGGAAGACATCGAATGGCACTGCAGACAAATAGGATGAGGGTTTAGGGAGAGGTTGTTGCTCTTATTTATATTATTATTTTTTGTATCTTTTAGATCGTATGATTTATGTGGAAATTGTTCAATTTCGTTGTGTATTTTATGTTTATTAAAAATAAAAAATTGTCCAGTACCACCTTATAGACCAACTAAGTTTGTTCTGGTATAAGCTTTTGTGTGCATGCACACTTCTTCAGATACCGGAACAAACTTAGATGGTCTAAGGTGCTACTGGACACTTTTTAATTATTTTTATTTTGACTGCGTCAGACCAACATGGCTACCTACCTGAATCTAGAATTTATGTTTATTGTTTATGTCAACTTCATAGCTGTCAACCTTCCCTTTTCTAGCAGGAAATTCCCTTATTCCAGTGCCATTTTCCGCTGCTTTCCTGGGTTGTTAGATATCCGGTAGACTGTCCCCGGGACAAGTGAGGCTGCTGATCCCTTATTTTCAAATCTGAAAGTTGACAGCTATGCAACTTTTATTGTTTGTAATTATGTATTTTTTCACGTTGTAAGCCGCCTTGAGCATGGTTTGAACTATGGAAAGACAGCATACAAATAAAATGATGTATGTATGTATGTATGTGTGCTCAAATGCTCCTTGTTGCATAAATGTCCTGCAAAAAACCCCAAAGGAGTGCTCCATAAATAAGGCCATAGTCAAACCTCCATGTGAAGGAATGGGTTTCCCAAAACCCAAAACTGACTGTGCAGGCAATTTTAAACTGCATCAAAATCCCAATTTTTCCTTAGCTAAAATGCATAAAATTGAGTCGTTGAGGAAATATATAACAAGAACACAGCTCTCTCCTTTATCAGTTTGTGACGTCAAGGATGACCCTGACTGTACCAGTAGAACAGAGAAAGCATGTTTGTACCTTATCTTATGTTCTGACCACAAAGACGCACAGACCCAAGAACAACGCCAGAGTGTGTTCCCGGAGATGATGACCTATTCCTCCAAGATAAGAGTAGGAACAGGAAGATCCTTTTATGGTCAGGAGTGCAGGAAGGAAATCCCTTTTATGGTTAAGAGTGCCGGAGCAGGAACATCTGTGATGTCAACCTGCGTACATAGGCTGACGTGGCTGGATTCCTGGGGAAGGAGGGAAAGGGTCCTGGAGGATATATATACTGCATGAAATTTCTCATTTCTTTGGACTTGCTGTGGACTGACCATGCAAGTGCCTTTCTGCTGTTCTGGAGAGCAGAAATAAAGAACTCTTTCTCTGAACCATCCTCGGTGTTATTTGACTTCCTTCCTCCTGTCCGGGAGCAACACAGACCCAATTGGTGAACTCCAATAAGGCTACACATGTGGGCTTTGAGCAAACCAATCAGAATGGCGGCGGCTGACCATCTGATGCATAGCTGTCAACTTTTCCCTTTTCTTGTGAGGAATCCTATTTGGAATAAGGGAATTTCCCTTTAAAAAAGGGAAACGTTGGCAGCTATGATCTGATGTGGCCCCATTGCAAGCTGTGAGTGGGAGAGGACTGAGATTGCAGCAGCCATGTGGGTCAGGGAATGGAGATGGGGATTGGATGGGATTGCATTGTATGCATGTTGTTGGCATCCGTTGAAATCTCCAAGAGACAAAGGAGGGGGGCTCCTTGGGGGGTGAAGTCAAACTGCTGGGAGGTTGCACCTGCTGTGGCTATTGTTATAAGAATTTTAAGGTCATATATATATGATAAATGTTCATAACTGTACAGTCATACCTCGGGTTACAGACGCTTCAGGTTGCATTTTTTTGGATTACGGACACGCCGAAACCCGGAAGTACCGGAACGGGTTACTTCTAGGTTTTGGCAGTTCTGCATGCACAGAAGTGCTAAATCGCGCTTTGCGCATGCGCAGATGCACCGCTGCGGGTTGCGAATGCTGTGGGTTGCAAATGTGCATCCCACACGGATCACGTTCGCAACCTGAGCACCCACTGTATATATAAATCACATGTCTGAAACCCCACAGAAAAAGTCCTGAAATCATTTTGTCCCTCCCAAATTGACCTCAAAAATTTCTCTGCAAGGTCGAAGGAAAATGGAAAAGCCTCCCCACTGTTTTTTCATTCACAAATCCTGTCTTAAGGGTATGTCTATGTATGAATAGGGTGAGCCTGTGACCTGGCTCAGGAACTAAGTATTTATCATTACAAAAGACTGGCTAGGCTCCCTAGGTAATCCAATCAAGTGACCATTAACAGGTAACCTGCCAGACAAGAGATAAACAACACACTCAGATTTCTGTGATGTAGGTATGATGTATCTGGGGGTGGTCTTAGGTTACACCCCTTCTGTGGTGTATGTATGATGTTTCTGGGGGCGGTCTTGGACTCTAGGGCAGGCAGTTTAAAGGGCGGGCACACCTTTGTTCTGGGTCCTCCTGCGTGTGAGGAGAGCACCCTGTTGCAACAGTTTAATAAAGATCAGGCTTCTTAGCTGCTTTGCTTCTCAATATTCTCTCACTTAAGGACTCTATATGGGCTCTTGGGTACCCCATAAGGGAAGAAGGGCAGGTTTTGTTTACAACACTGTAGATACCGATGCAGGAGAGACATGTGTTGTTGCAGCTGGGGCAGGTGAAGGCACCCAGTTGTGCTGCTGCAGATGCACCAGGGCGTCTGTTCTCTCTGCTCTCCTCCCAGTGGCCATTCCTCCTCTGAGCACTGCTGTGGACGCACAACTTGACTGTCTGTTTGCAGGCACTGCGAGGGATTCCCCCAAAGAGGGATTGATGTTGCCAGCCGCCATGTCTCGTTTGCAGACATTTTTGTGACGCAGAATGGGCCTGCCAGTGGGCCAGGTGCCTGCAGCCAGCAGGAACTTCTACCCGACTTTCTGATTCAAAGAGTGACCTGAGCTCAGGTTGACAAACAGAGCAGATAAGGCCAAAGCAAACAAAGCTGATGCATAGAAGGCCAGGGACACATGGGAGGCCTTGGGAGCCAGACGTGCAACGGTGCTGCCTCCTTGTGGTGACAGTGGGCGCTTCAAGACAGTCGGTGTTTTCTGTCGCATCCCATCAAATTCAGTTTGTGCAATTATAGTTGATTGGGAGGTCTTGCACAACAAACCCACTTCCCCAAAACATCCTGAAAGACCTACATTGGCTCCTAGTACGTTTCCAAGCACAATTCAAAGTGTTGGTGTTGACCTTTAAAGCCCTAAACAGCCTTGGCCCAGTAGACCTGAAGGAGCGTCTCCACCCCCATCGTTCAGCCTGGACACTGAGGTCCAGCTCCGAGGGTCTTCTGGCGGTTCCCTCCCTGCAAGAAGTGAGGTTACAGGGAACCAGGCAGAGGGCCTTCTTGGTGGTGGCGCCCACCCTATGGAACACCTTCCCAGCAGATGTCAAGGAAATAAACAACTATCTAACTTTTAGAAGACATCTGATGACAGCTGTTTGAGGTTCTATTGTGCTTTTCATTCTGTTGGGAGCCACCCAGAGTGGCTGGGAAAACCCAGCCAGATGGGTGGGGTAAAAATAATAAATCTATTATTATTATTATTATTATTATTATTATTAGGCTTTTAAAATAAGGGAAGTGACAAGAAAATGCACTGGAAAGTGTGGGACAATAACTCTTGCAGCGGCACACCTTTGAATCTTGCCACAAGCAAATCAGGATGAATGCTCATGAAACAGATTGTATGGAAGTGATGAACGAAACCCAACATCTCCTGAAAGGTAGAGGGGAAGCTGTGTAAATGGATCCACAACTGGCGACAGCAATGCTTCTGGATCCCAGTTGCTGGACTCCTGATGGGGGTTTCCGCTTGGGGCATCTGGTGGACCCTTGTGAGAACAGGATGGTGGTCAAGATGGGCCACTGGCCTGAGGATCCAGGACTGAACTGGGTGGACCAGTCGTCTGATTCAGTATAAGGCAGCTTCCTATGAAAGGCAGAGAGAAGCACACGTTGAAATCTCAAGGATGTGCTTAATTTTAGTGAAACATACCATATGTCAAGGGATGCAGGTGGCACTGTGGGTTAAACCACAGAGCCTAGGACTTGCCGATCCAAAGGTGGGCGGTTCAAATCCCCGCAAGGACGGTATGAGCTCCCGTTGCTCGGTCCCTGCTCCTGCCAACCTGGCAGTTTGAAAGCACATCAAAGTGCAAGTAGATAAATAGGTACCGCTCCGGTGGGAAGGTAAACGGAATTTCCGTGCGCTGCTCTGGTTCGCCAGAAGCGGGTTAGTCCTGCTGGGCACATGACCTGGAAGCTGTACGCCGGCTCCCTCAGCCAATAAAGCGAGATGAGCGCCGCAACCCCAGAGTCGGCCACGACTGGACCTAATGGTCACGGGTCCCTTTATCTTTACCTTTACCATATGTCAGTGTAACATACTAAAAGAATGAGGCGTTGTGTGGCATGGTATATAAAATGAATTAAGCTACTGTATTTCAAATGCCCCAACTATTTCCAGATGATGGAAATCATTTTTGTCTCCCTCATGTAGCCAACAGAGGGCGCCGAGAGACCAGCCAAGTTCCTCTTGAAGCCGATGCCCCTGTTTCTGGCTCCAGCTGCTTTTCCAGCTAAGGCCCTGTCTGGGACAGAGAGGAACTGGCCACCTCTAGTAACCTCCAGACTGGACTGCTTCAGCATGCTCTTTGTGGGGCTGTGCTTGACCCAGAAACTTTGTTGCCTGTTTAATATTCTAGCCTTCCTTCCATCGGAGCCCAGGGTGGCAC